TTTAATTTTTAAAATTTATACATCTACAAGTTTGATATAAGTTGTAATTGATGGTTATGATTATTAAAATGTATTTTTTATAAAGATAATTTTTAAGGAAGTAAATTAAGGTAAATTTAACAGACTTCAAACACACATTTAATTTTTAAAATTTATACATCTACAAGTTTGATATAAGTTGTAATTGATGGTTATGATGATTAAAACGTATTTTTTATAAAGATAATTTTTAAGGAAGTAAATTAAGGTAAATTTAACAGACTTCAAACATATGTAGAAAGGAAAATTATTTTTGGCTAGAGTGCATATTAATTCTTCAGATATTTATTTGTAACATTTAGGCAGTCACTAGAAAGTAAACTCCTTAAGGGTGGAGACTTTTTGTTTGTTCAGTGTTTTATCTCTAAAGCCTAGAACAGCAGTACTGGGGTGTATAGTAAGTGCTCAATAAGTAAATATGGAATTAATGAATAAATGGACACTGGGCTCCCAAATCATTCAACAGATGTATATTTAATTAATTGTATTAGTAAAAGTATGATAGAATTACTACATAAAACGAAGCAACTTCAGAAAAAAGAACTCAGAGTTACAACTGGGATTCTACTAACAAATTTCTCCCTCTGACAAATAAATCTACCTTACTTCTTCTTCTATACAAAATTTTCTTTCTATCCTGTCTGTATAGTCATGGCTGTTTTGCATTTTATGGTCTGACCACAGTCTTTCCTCTGCGATCTTACTGTAGGTTTGCCCTTTTTGAGGGCATTCACTCAACTCAGAATGTTCTGGCCTCGTGGATGGGAGTTAGATCACTCCATTGCTAAACAGGGCCAATTGTAATCATTTTAACGTATTATGCAGACATATCCTCCACTGTAATGTTCACTCATTGGTGTTTGAGTCCTGGTGTTATTCAGAAAAAAAATTCCTTGTAATGTCTTGTAATGTATTGGTGTTAGTTGTAGGAGTGCATTACATAGAAAAAACTTCTAGATGGACTCCTGCAAGTAACCAAGACATCTATCATGCCCTTTTATTCTCTAAGTTCAACATCACCAGTTACAAGGTATGGTT